ATAGGGTTCTCCAGCTTTAGGCTCATCATAAAGCACTATACAGCAACAAAGAGGGAAACACTACCCCTATTCCTTTTTGAAAAAGCTCTCCTCTTTCTATGATGCTCTGAAAGACGTTTGCCCAACGCAATTTACACATTTAAAAAAAATAATATTCTATTAGAACACTTCGCTCTGTCCAGGGCCGGATTGGCCCACCGGGATACCGGGAAATTTCCCGGTGGGCCGTCGGCACCTGGGGCCGGGTAGACACCTGGGTCTGCTGGCGGCCGCTGGGGAACTTGTATTGGTGGCCACAGGGGGAGCTGCGCTGTCTCTGCTCCCCAGCGCGCAGCTTAATGAGACCAGTGCCGGAATATGACGTCATATTCCAGCCCCTGTCTCATTCAGCAGAGCGCGAGGGCGGGAGAGCAGAGCCAGCGCAGCTCCCCCAACGGCCGCCAGTACAAGTTCCCCAGCGGCCGCCAGTACAAGTTCCCCAGCGGCCGCCAGCAGACCTCCCCCAGCGGCCTCCAGAAGACCTGCAAGACTTGCTTGCATGCGTGTGCCTGTTAGTGAGTGAGCTTGTGTTTTTATGTCAATGAGCTGATGTATATCAATGAGATTGTTTGTCTATGAGGCTGTGTATCAATGAGCTTGTGTGTGTCATTGAGATGTCAGTGAAATTGCCTGTGTCTGCATGTGAGTATGCTTACTGTATAATTAAACGTTTTACCCTGAAAGGACCAATATTTTATATTAGAAAAAGCAATATATATATATATATATATATATATATTACTCAATCATCTGTCATGGTAAGACATAGCCTTAGTGACTTATGGGGCTGGCACAAATTTTTTTTCCAGGGCTGCTTTGTATCCCCAGTCCGGCCCTGGCTCTGTCTTATAAGCAGCAATTAAAACACTAAGAGAGTTATTCAGTGGCGTATGCTTTGTCAAAAATTCTAATTTTATGTTGAAACAGTCAAACTGAAAAACATTTTCCAAGTTAGCTTTGCTTTCAGCTCAGCTCTCATGGATTAAAGTTTGAAGTTCACTTTCAATTCACTTTAAATTCTAAACAATTCACACTTTAGAGAATAATCCTGGGAGCATTACCTCTATATGTAATTCGAATAAAATATATGCAATTATATGTTTTTTATTATCATACATTCAAAGGACATTTATATATATATATAAATTTCAATATTTGTCATATTTTGGCATAATGGTTTCCTTATTGATTAACATTATCAGGCTGCAAGAAGAAAGTCTCTTATAGTTAAATAAACCTCTGTTAACATTTTACAGCAAGCTTTTTGAGGTTTCTTTATGTTCAATAGAGTAATAAATAATTCTTCCAAAGACTACTACAAAGACGATCTCCTCAGAGACCTCCCTTAAAGAAATACGTTAAGATGTATTGTGAGGAAGGTTTTCCTTTGTGGCACATTTCTTCTAAAGCTCAAGACTCAGCATTGTATATTGGTTTTAGCTGTTTATTTGGTAAAAGGAAAAAAAAATACTTCAAATTGTCACCTTTCTCTGGTTTCCTTGTGTTATTGAATGAGGATAGAAATCAGCGGTCAAATTATTGTGAAGGTAGTCTGTGTTCCTCAGGGGTAACTAGACCTCTGATGCACTATTATCCCAGTGGGAAGCATCTAGAGAGAGTCCATTACTGGGCAATTAGCCTGACTGTTTGCAGCACCTTCCAGAGAGAGGATTTGTATAGATCCACAAGGGAGCAATTACTAAATGTCACCACAATGTCTGTTTTAACCCTTCGGTGGAACAGGTTTGCTTCAGGTACGATCTCAGATTAGGTATCCTAAAAAAAAACCACACTACTAGTTATCAGTTAAATTAAACTGAGAAAACGCACATCATTTTGTAAATGGGAAAAAAAAAAATCTGTGAAATTGCCATTGTGAGAAAGAAAATGTTAGATGTTCATGTTAACATTTTAAAAGCAAAGTACATTACATAATAGTGATGTAATTTGTCCAAAATTAAATGGATTATACAGCAATTGACATCAAGAGTAGCAATAGGCAGTAATGGTTACATAACTCATTACAGGGAAATGATTGTTTAAAACTAATCCATTTTTTAAAATGGATTATATAAAAAATATATATATATTTTTTTAAATGGCTCCAAAAATATATATATACAATATACTCAGCTATTTAATTACTAATGTAGCCTTATTGCTGAGAAAAACTATTTGCAGCAACAGACAGACCACAACCCAGGGGTCAAGTCCTGGGTGAAAAAGTGTGGGAACTCACCCAAGATACCTGCTCCCAAAAAACTAAAAAAAAATTATACTACTATGCATATAGTGCAGTGCAGGGTGTGTATAATGAATGTAGTGTGTTTTTAGTGAGTGCAGTGTGTATAATAAATGTACTGTGTTTGTAGTGAGTGCAGTGTGTATAATAAATGTAGTGTCTTTGTAGTGAATGCAGAGTGTGTATAATGAATGTAGTGTGTTTATTGTGAGTGCAGTGTGTGTATAATGAATGAAGTGTGTTTGTAGTGAATGCAGTGTGTGTATAATGAATGTAGTGTGTTTGTAGTGAATGCAGAGTGTGTATAATGACTGTAGTGTGTTTGTAGTGAGTGCAGAGTGTGCATAATGAATGTAGTGTGTTTGTAGTGAGTGCAGTGTGTATACTAAATGTAATGTGTAGTGAGTGCAGAGTGTGTATAATGAATGTAGTGTGTTTGTAGTGAGTGCTGCGTGTATAATAAATGTAGTGTGTTTTAGTGAGTGCAGAGTGTGTATAGTGAATGTAGTGTGTTTGTAGAGAGTGCAAAGTGTGTATAATGAATGCAGTGTGTGTAGTGAATGTAGTGTGTATAGTGAATGAAGCGAGTGCAGAGTGTGTATAGTAAATGTAGTGTTTGTAGTGAGTGCAGAGTGTGTATAATGAATGCAGAGTGTGTACAATGAATGCAGAGTGTGTAGTGAATGTAGTGTGTTTGTAGGGAGTGCAGAGTGTGCATAATGAATGCAGAGTGTGTATAGTGAATGTAGTGAATGCAGAGTGTGTATAAGAAATGCAGTGTGTGTAGTGCATGCAGAGTGTGTATATTGAATGTAGTGTGTTTGTAATGAGTGCAGAGTGTGTATAATGAATTTAGTGTGTTTGTAGTAAGTGCAGATTGTGTGTAATGAATGCAGTGTGTGTGTGTGCTGGAAGATGCGTGTGTGCTGGAAGATGTGTGTGTGTGTGTGTGTGTGTGTGTGCTGAATGATGTGTATGTGTGCGTGTGTGTGTGCTGGATGATGGTTGTGTGTGTGTGCTGGATGATGTGTGTGTGCTGGATGTTTTGTGTGTGTGTGTGTGCTGGATGAAAGGGGGGGGAAGCATTTTTTTTTTTTAAATGTATGTGTTTATATTCTAACCTTGCCAGGAAGGGGGGAGATTGCATGGTGGTATGGTGGAGAGAGACAGCCGCTGCACATGGGGGCCCAGCACACTCTGTGTTCCCTCTCCAGGCCCTTTGTATATCTCTTTCTTCCTACCACAACCTTTGTGTTTCTCTTACTTCCTCATCAGCTCCTTTTGTGTGTCTCTTTTCTCCTCACAGCCCTTTTGTGTCTCTTTCTTCCCCCCAGCCACTTTCTGTGTCTCTATCTGCCCTTAGCCCCTTTCTGTGTCTGTTTCTCCCACCATGAGCCCCTTTGCCTGGCTTTTTCCTCCCAAACCATACAGACATAGATATACAGGTACAAATACATACATGCACAAAGGCACAACCATACAGGCACGTAGTCATAAAAAGGAACACAAACAAAACACAGTCATACAAGCAACCAGTCATGCACAGACACACAGACAGTCATACACAGACATACAGGCAACCGGTCATACAGAGACACGCAGACGGTCATACAGAGACACGCAGACAGTCATACAGAGACACGCAGACACAGTCATACAGAGACACGCAGACACAGTCATACAGAGACACGAAGACACAGTCATACAGAGACACGAAGACACAGTCATACAGTGACATACAGAACAAGGCATTCAGACACAGTTATACAGAGACATACAGACGCAGTCATACAGAGATTTACACACAGTCATAAAGAGACAAACAGAGACATACATAAACAGACATATACTGTTAGTGATGAGAGGAGGAGAGGGATGGCTGCTAGTGATGGGAGGGAGAGAGGGGGACGGCTGCAAGTGATGGGAGCGAGAGAGGATGATAGCTACTAGTAACAGAGAGAGGAGGATTGCTGTTAGTAATAGGGGTGAGAGTAATGGCGGGTAGTGATGGGGAGAATGTGTGGCTGCTAGTGATGGGGGAGAAGGGGATGGCTGCTAGTGATAGGGGTGAGTGAAGGATGGCTGCTAGTGATGGGGAGATTGGATGGCTGCTAGTGATGGGGGAGAAGGGGATGGCTGCTAGTGATAGGGGTGAGTGAGGGATTGCTGCTAGTGATGAGGGACAGGCGGATGGCTGCTAATGATAGGGGAGAGGAGGATGGCTGCTAGTTATGGGGGAAAGGGGATGGCTGCTAGTGATTGGGAATAAGGGGATAGCTGCTAGTGATGGGGGGAAAGGTGATGGCTGCTAGTGATAAGGATGAGTGAGGGATGGCTGCTAGTGATGGGAAGAGGAGGATGGCTGCTGGTGGGGAGAAGGGGTGGCTGCTAATGATAGGGGAGAGGAGGATGGCTGCTAGTGATGGGGGAAAGGGGATGGCTGCTAGTGATAGGGGTGAGAGAGGGGTGGCTGCTGATGATGGGAGGAGAAGGGGATGGCTGCTAGTGATAGGGGTGAGTGAGGGATGGCTGCTAGTGATGGGGAGATTGGATGGCTGCTAGTGTTTAGGGGAGAGGAAGCATAAGAGGAATAGAAGTGAGGTGGCACTGTTGGACCAATAAAACACAGAGCTCCACATGAACTATAAGATTTAGCTCTGTGGAGCTCTGTGCTAGGTACATTATTATTTCATGAAAAAATAAATAAAACATGGCTGCTTACCGTTGGTGGTGTGTAATTATCTGAAAAGAGATGTTCTTAGCTCTCCCTGCTCGGTAATCCTCTAGCAGGGCCTGACAGGAAGTGATGTTAAACGCCCCGCCCACTGCAGTCTTTACTCACTCATCAGTAAACTACCGCAGGGGAGAGTAGTGTGAGCAGGCACATCTCCTGCAGGATCACTAGCGGGAACGGCGTTCCTGCTTTGGAAAAAGTGCAGGAACGCCGTTCCCATGCGTTCCTGCAGGACTCGAGCCCTGCAACCTCAATAGAAAGAGTATCTAACAATCAGGAAACTCTCATATTGGTCTAGAGCAGGGGTCCTCAAACTGTGGCCCTCCAAATGTCACTGAACTACAACTCCCATGATTCTTGAATCTATGAATTACATAGATAGCCAGAAAATCATGGGAGTTGTAGTTCAGCAACATCCGGGGGGCCAGAGTTTGAGGATCCCTGGTCTAGAGGGTCTGGTCCAGCAAGGGATTTTAGGTATAGAAGTTTATCTCCCTGTCTCAGAAAATTGATAATCATAATGCTATATATACAAAACTAGAGCCTTTCTAGAGCTCTGTTTTCATGCTCAAGTTCTAGAAAGAGTGTAATCTCCCCATGAAAACATGTGTCAGTATTGACTCTGTTGTTCTGTGATGTAATCTGTGATTTAGTTCAAGTTTTCATATAATCAAATGCATTTGATTGTCTTTCATTTCATTGTAACAATAGCCTTAAAATTCATGATTAACTAAACTAAGAATGGGCTTCTAGGTCATTGTATTAACCACTTGAACAGACAGTAAAATAAATATTAATCATTTACTGAACTTACTGTAGGTCCATTCAACATCATATGCGAACCCTACTCAGGATAAAATATTGTGCATCTTGAACAGTATATGCTGTTTTATTCTGCGACTATGTGCAATATTTTCTGAGCTTTGTTTCTGCTAAATAAGGAAACATTAAAAATATATTTAGCGACTCGGGAGGTGTTTTAATCTAGCCATGTCCTTAATAGACTTTCTATAAAGACGTTATTTAACTTAAAATATAACCAGTGAAACAGAAAAGGAAATCATGTCATTCTGCTGATTTTATGTATGTTTTTTTACCTATATATGTGCTGTGAAATATATATATGAAGTTTTGCACTAGTCAATATTAAATAAAAAGATATTAAAGAATTTAAATAATTTTTATCACCGACTGAATTAATAGCAATTTTTGCATAGACATCAGTGTAAGAATTGCAGTTCCAGTGTCAAGTGTATTTCTTTTGATATAATCAATCCTTGAAGGGGTAACTATCAACAAATGCATTTCATAGACATCCTATGTATTCAAAGGCATAGGAGACCTGCTGTTGAAGGCCTAACATTAGAGATACATCTAGACAGCTTAGGGATGTCCACCTGCATCAGGTATTTGCTTGATTTTGTCTGTAGCAAATGCAGTGGAAGTTGGAAAGGGGTCCCTAAAATCTCAATTGACTTATTACAAAAATAATCCATGGGTCAATTCTGTATAATGGATCGAAGGGTTGCACTTTAGAAACATGTGATCTAGATTTAAGAACACACATCCAGCTTTACAAAGACAGAGGACATTGAGCTCAAGGACATAGCTGTAAAGCACTCAGTGATGCACAGCTATTAAACAGAATCTTTCTATCGACCTCAGGGCTGTAATTGAAATATTTTATTGCATAAGATATTCCATAATGTAAACTCTTTATAATTTTTATGATCATTTTTATTTTACCTTTGAGCTAATTTGGCCATTACACGTTTCTCAACATATTAAGTTATCGTGTTGAAACTTTTGGCTAGAAAGACTACTTTTTTATTATATTAAATCCAGGCTAAATATTTTAGGGTAGTATTTCTTTTTTTTTTTTTTTAACACCTAATCTTTTTAATAGGCTGTTAATTTAATTTTGATATATTATTTTGTTTCCTATCATATTCTCATCAGTTTAGCAAACAAAAGTTGAATGTATCCCAAGTGTATCCCAGAATGCCAAATCCAATTAGCCTAATAAAGGCTGAAACCTCACATTTACTCATTATTTATAGGATTAGTGTTCCAAAGCAAGTCACAGGACATAAGAACCAATGAAACAAAGTACCCTTCCTCCTGACTGATTTTGTCCCAGCTGAATCTAAGGCTCTTGAATTATTATAGCCCCCTGCATGTTGGTACAGAGAATGAAAGGATATGGGGTTATTGCATACAACCCAGGTAAGTCAGGAACATGGCAAGTCATTGGTTGATTTGAAATATAAGTTCTAACAGGCAAGAAAAGGAAATGGAAAAAGTGTCCTACGTGTTCATTGTTCCTATTAGTTAGCCAGTCCTAGCAATCCAATTGGAGTGATGATCAGGTCCCTGCAAATCTAGAATTATTAAACCCTCATCACTCAACTACTGCAGTTATTACTAACTAGGAGAAGGAAAACAGAGTACCTCAGCAGCGTATAGGAGTCTGAAATCTGACCTTCTGCGGGTGCAGAAACCATAGCTAATCCTCCCTCCTGCTCCAACACTATATGTTAGAGTGGATTACCATGGAAAACACTCAGAAAAGCACAGGAACGGTGCAGAGTGATGATTTACCTGCACTCACAGAAGGTGATCAACAGCTTCATCCACCTGATAATCAGGGAACAATGGATATTAATGCCTTACCTCCTGGTAAAATATAGGCAAAGGGGCCATTAAACAACTTTATAATAACAAAAATCTAAACAAAATTTATAGGAATAAAATCAATTCCTGCAAACACCTCTGGTACACACAATTCACATACAATCCACAAAGAACAGACAGCCACATATACACAATTCTGCAAGCAAGCCACACACACACACACAATTGCATAGACAGTCCACACCAGATATGCAAGTACTAAAACCGACCTACATACACACATTTACTATTATAGCCAGCCCACTAACATGCAGAAAATAACAGGCAGTCTATGTAAACATACACAATACTACAAACAGTTCACATATATACACCAAATACAGACTTCTCGACATACACAATACCATATACATATAACACCACAGGTAGCACCATCACACACAACACCACAGATAGCTCTCATCACTCATATAACACCACAGCCAGTCCACATACATACACATAATTCCACAGAGAGACACATACACATTAACACATACAGAACACAACAATCAGCCCATATTTACACATGCAATATAGCAAATATTGAGCGATCACATGGCCACAGGGGTCCTAATCCAGTGTGGGGAGACTATCTGGGCTGCAGGCAGTCTCCCCACAACGGGAGCACCGCTGATCGCCACCGGGGGAACGACGGCGATCAGGTAAGTAACTAGGACCGTTAGGACGGTTCAGGACCGTCAGCGGTCGGCAATGGGAAAATGCCGATGACGGTCCTGAACCGACCGCGGTCCTTAAGGGGTTAAACTATTTTTTTAGAAAGAGAAAACAGAAAATTGGCATGTGCGTATGTATTCACCCCCTTTGTTATAAAGCCCATAAAAAGCTCTTGTGCAACCAATTACCTTCAGAAGTCACATAATTAGTGAAATGATGTCCACCTGTGTGCAATCTAAGTGTCACATGATCTGTCATTACATATACACACCTTTTTTGAAAGGCCCCAGAGGCTGCAACATCTAAGCAAGAGGTACCAAACACTGCCAACACCAAGGAACTCTCCAAACAAGTAAGGGACAATGTTGTTGAGAAGTACAAGTCAGGGTTAGGTTATAAAAAATATCAAATTCTTTGATGATCCCCAGGAGCACAATCAAATCTATAACCATATGGAAAGAACATGGCACAACAGCAAACCTGCCCACCAAAACTCACGGACCGGGCAAGGAGGGCATTACTCAGAGAGGCAGCACAGAGACCTAAGGCAACCCTGGAGGAACTGCAGAGTTCCACACCAGAGACTGGAGTATCTGTACATAGGATAACAATAAGCTTTAAGTTCTATAGAGTTGGGCTTTATGGCAGAGTGGCCAGAAAAAGGCCATTACTTTCAGCAAAAAACAAAATGGCACGTTTTGAGTTTGCGAAAAGGCATGTGGGAGACTCACAAAATGTATGGAGGAAGGTGCCATGGTCTGATGAGATTAAAATTTAACTTTTCGGACATCAAAGAAAATGCTATGTCTGGCGCAAACCCAACACATCACATTACCCAAAGAACACCATCCATACAGTGGAACATGGTGGTGGCAGCATCATGCTGTAGGGATGTTTTTCAGCAGCCGGGACTGGGAAACTGGTCAGAGTTGAGGGAAAGATGAATGGTGCTAAATACAGGGATATTCTTGAGCAAAACCTGTACCACTCTGTGCGTGATTTGAGGCTAGGACAGAGGTTCACTTTCCAGCAGGACAATAAGCCCAAACACACTGCTAAAGCAACACTTGAGTGGCTTAAGGGGAAACATGTAAATGTGTTGGAATGGCTTAGTCAAAGCCCAGACCTCAATCCAATAGAAAATCTGTGGTCAGACTTAAAGATTGCTGTTCACAAGCACAAACCATCCAACTTGAAGGAGCTGGAGTAGTTTTGCAAGGTGGAATGGGCAAAAATCCCAGTGGTAAGATGTGGCAAGCTCATAGAGACTTATCCAAAGTGACTTGGAGCTGTGATTGCTGCAAAAGGTGGATCTACAAAGAATTGACTTTAGGGGGGTGAATAGTTATGCACATTGACTTTTTCTGTTATTTTGTCCTATTTGTTGTTTGCTTCACAATAAAAAAAAAACATCTTCAAAGTTGTGGGCATGTTCTGTAAATTAATGATGAAAATCCGCAATCCATGTTAATTCCTGGTTGTGAGGTAACACAACACGAAAAATGCAAAGGGGGGGGGGTGAATACTTTTGCAAGGCACTGTACAAATACACAACACTCATATATGGACACACAAAACTCACAAAGAAGCCACTACACCACAGATTTTAGTTTTAGTAAATAGACCCCTTAGTATACTAGCATATCCATGTAGAGCAGATATTTTAATGTTAAAATTAATGGGTCCCTAGACACCTTTATTATTATTATAAAAATAATTCTAGCTCTTTATGACTACATCCGCATAAACAGAAACAAATAATTTGTTATCTAAATGGGAGAGACTTGAGCATTAAGAATACAGGAGCATGATCTACACACCCAAACCACTTAAATTAATGTAAAGTTGTTTAAAAATTTCCCTTAGTGCATTCACCATGTGAGCAACAGACTCAA